CTCGTTTCACCATTGCCAGAGCACAGAACTGACTTGAGTTTTTGGCTGTGCTGGGGATGGCTGGAATTTCGAGGAGGAGGCCCAGGCCAACTTGGCACAAAATGCCGCCTTTCCCCCTAACTGGAACCCCACCGGCTGACACTGCTTTAGCTGAGAGCTGAGAGCAATGAGGCCCAGGCAACCTCCCTGCCTTGCTCCCCACTCTTCCAGTCCATAAGCTTCCAATTCCAGACCTTAACTCCGGGTGGGATGTCTGGAAAAATTACTGCTGTATCTTTCTTTACCTCTTGACTCCGTCTGCCCCCCTCCTCTCTGTGTTTGTCCCTCACTCGGTGATTCCTTTGCTCCCTTTTTCTTCCTCTTGTCTGACCTGGACACAGTCTCTCATCTCAGTTTGTATTTTTTCATAAACGTGACTCCCTTCTTTCTTTGTACCTTTCATCAATTTCATTCCCCCCTTGTTTTTGATCATCCTCCCCGATGACCTTTAACAATTATACAAATCAGGTGGCGTGGGCATGAGAACAGGAAAGATGAAGGGATTAAAGAAGCTAATACGTTATTCATCTGTTATTCACCTGCTGTATCTGAGATGACATCTCTTTTCCCCTTCTGTGCTCACCTGCAGAGGAACCGAGCTTGTGCTACTACTACGACGGAGACGGGGTGTGTGAGGACTTTGAGCGAGAGACCGGTGTGAGAGACTGTGGCCTCTACACCCCCAGTGGTTTCCTGGACCAGTGGGCCTCCACTGTGGACGTTTCTCATGAGGAGAAACCCTACTGCTCTGGTGAAGTGGCCGCTGGATACCCCGCCGTTACTAAAGTAAGTCCATACACGGGGTTATCAGATGGAGCAGGGGAGTAAGTCAGCCAATAGGTATTCTGTTTACAAGGGCTAAAGATCAAGTCCGTGAAATGCTCACAAATGTCCTCGCTTGGATTATGTTGTGTCCATTATGCTGGGAGATAAATATGGAATTATTGATCAGTAACGCTAAACGATCCCATCTATTGCACCTGCAGTGGAACGGACTGCTGTATCTTTCTCCTCCGTGGTTGTTTTACACATCATATTGATGGCAATGATTTCCCTCTTACAGCAGGAGGCTGGCGCGGAAACTTATTTGGTTTATTTAGAGACTGGGGACATTTAATCAGAAGTCTTCTGGGGCGGGTGCAGAAATGTGCTGCTCTCATTAAAGTAATGCTTATTGAAGATAAGAGAAGACGACATTGATTCCACCTAAACCCAGTGGAAGCATCGATCTGTTGCTGTCACACAAAGAGGGTGATTAACCAAAGCATTAGCACACACACACACACACATGCACACACGCACACACACACGCAGGAGCTTTCCACAAAACATGCATTAGTCTATTTAATCCACACTTTTCACTGTGGCCGGTCAAATCCGAGGCATATTGTAGAAATATCTCCACAGTTTGTTACCTCACCTACTATTTCATCTTTTAATAGCCTTCACGGAATATTTGAATCAGTCCAGATGTTAAAAATATCCCGCAAACGTCTTACTTTGATGTGAAGGGTGACATCGATATTCATTGTTAAATTTTGGGACAATAAATACTTAACCCTCTGAAGGGGAAAGCTTTTGTTGGAAGAGTGTTCAGGCTCATTTCCACCACACTGACAGCTGCTGTTGGAAACGTGTCATACTGGAACCAGAGCCTGTTCCTGCTGCTGATGGTGCATTTTACAAGGTCAACGATCTGACTCTTTGCAAAAACTCTCTCGTAATGTGTCCAGACGCATTGGCAGGTCTTTTTTTTTTTACAAACATATAGGTGGAATTGGAACTGCATGTTTTATATATTTGGTGTAGATGTCACTATTGATGGTCCTGTTTGAGCCCAACGTTGCAGATGTTCGAAACACTGGTGGAACATGTCGCCAGAACCATAAAGAAAGGAATTCTGCAGCGAAGGACGTATTATCCTGACAAAAATGACTTTTACTGTAGAGAACATTTCCTTCCCAAGGGTCGTGTGTGTGTGTGTGTGAGAGAGATCAGATCACCTTGTTACAAGGCCATAGAATGGTGCACTCTGTGGACACACTGGTGCACGTGTGGAAAATATGCAAACACAGGTACTTTATCCACAAAGGTGTTGTTTCGATCTCTCCGTGCTTCTTTATCTGACCTCCTTCATCTCACTTTCTGTCATCGGCAACACCACGTGTCGGTGTAAATACAGAATATATGACTCCTGTGTGGCTCTTCTGATTGTTTTGGAGACCAGTACTACAGATGAAGGATAGGAGAATTGATTCTGGAGACAACGACCAGGATGGAAGTCTTTGATCAGGGAGTCAGATTAAATGAGGCCTTGAAGAAAACATATGAAAAAAATCCCCTTCGGAGATGAGTGGTTTGGTTTTTTACCGTTTTGGATTCAGAGTAAAACTAAAGGTGTTGTTTTTGCCAGATACGTCTAGACCGTGTGTAGACCAATAAACCAATAAAAATGGACCTCATGACAACCACAACATTCGAACTCCAAGTCTCAGACATAAATACAGCACAACAACTTTTATTTCATGATTTTTATTGGGACCTAAAATAATAGCAGATCTTTGCGGTATGAGTTTCATTGACTTAATTTTTATTAAAAACTAAGTTAATCACATCAAGACAAAAATATGTCGTTTAGAGACAAAGTCCAATCAGCGCAGGTTTTATCAAATACTCTATGGGAACAAACGTGGCTGAAAGCCAATCAGAGCTTTGTTTGTTTGTCTAGTAGTTCAGTTAGCTGAAGCTAGATATAAATGATGCAGGTTAGCGTCGGGTCTTCTAACTGTGAATCCATCAATCGTTTCAACCATGACACCCGAACCGTGACAGCTTTGTATAAATACAAACCCTCAGTAGTTTCTTATTAAATTTAGATGATTATTTGACATTCTAAAAACTTAATACACGTGTCAAACTCAACACCCAGGGTCCAAATGCGGTCCATCAAGTCATTTCGTATGGCCTGCAGGAGCCTAAAAGGCAATTATTAAAGTCGATGCAGCAGAGTTTCTAAACCTGATAAATTAAAAGTTTAACTTTTTCAATCACACATCAATGACCAATCTCTGTAACTTTAATAAAAGAATAATCAATTGCAGAAACATTCATTAATACATTATGGAGTTGTTACAGCCATACAGTCTTTCATTTACAACCGTCCCTTCAAGGGGAACTGTATTGCTGATGTGCCCCCCCCCCCCCCTCACCCACTCCGTGTGGCGCATACCCGCCTTAACAGAATGGTATAAAAGCCCAATAGGTTTACGGAATTTTATATATTGGAAGATAATAATGTCCTATTTTTGTCTAATTAAGTTCAGTCAGTCAGGAGTGATCATTTATAGTATAAGTAATATATTATAATATATCCAAAATGATCTTTGTAAAATTATAAAAAACAGTTGTGGTCTTTCATTGACTTTAAAAGATAACACTCGTGACTATTTTTAAAACTGGTTTGCAGACCATTTATTCTCCAGCTAGAACTTCTTCTGGTTCTTCTTTGGTGTCGTACACACTTTTAGACATTTCTGCCGTTGTTTCCAAGGCTTCCTCTCATGTCCTCTGTCAGGCTGCAGGTGGGAGCATTTATGTGGAGAGTGACTTCCAAGCCTCTCTGGAGACTTTAACTAAGTTACTACGTTGGCTGGGCCATTTCAGGACACGGCAGTTATCTCCAAATGTCTCCTGTGGTATCGTGACTGCCTCTGAGATCATTGTGCTCTCGGAAGGTAAACCTCTTTTCCACTGCAGGTTTCTGTGCCGGTGAATGATGCTGCCGTCACCATATATCACAGTGGAGGTAGTACTGAGCAGGTGATGAGCAGAGACTCTTGTTTCCTACAGTCAGACATATGTTTTTTGTTCAGACTGTGTTCTTTCATGTGCTTCCATCTGGCTGCTGTGCCTTGAAACCCAGATCTGTGGTGTGCTTTAGTGATGGATGTCATTCTGAACGTTTTTCCCTTATTTCCACAGAAGATCTTTGGAGCCCAGCCAGTGTGACTATCATATTCTTGGTAACCTTGATTAGGAAGTGTCCCCAGTGTAGCAGGATGTGGGCTTTATCTACATCCTCTATCTAAGCTGTACATCACCTGCAACAGACAAGTGTGACAAATAGACTAAGTACTATCGTTGATACTGAAAAAGCAGGCGGATAACGTAGATAGAAATGAGTCATTTTGTCGATGAGTACTTTTGTTGCACTCAGTATCTATGAGTACACAAATTAAAATACTAACAATTCGATTTGGAAAAAAAACATATTGTGGCTCCATTAGTAGTTCATTATTGTTAATGTGATTTGTCCATAAACTGTATCAAAAGCGTTACTGGGTAAGGCAACACAGAAACTTTAACCATTAGTAATCACTGATATAACACACACACCATAAACCTTCACAACACATATTGTAGTTTTGCATATTGCAGGTAAAGAAAAAAAAAAATTGCCCTCGACTTTCATTTAGATACCTGTTCTCACGTGGAGAACCCCGGCTGAGTTGAAGTCTGAACCTTTACCTCATTTTATGTCTTGCTACAAGCTCACTTTTTCCTTTGTTGTTCAGTCGTGTTTCGTGGCTTGCGGACTCTGATATAAGTCGTACAGATGTGCTTTCCTGATATCCTGCCATTCTAACGTGTGTTTGTATTTAGATAGTACAACATTTCCTCCTGATCTAGTAAACAAATCCTGTATTGGCTTTGTGTATCTGCCGTGTTTGATGTTTAAAGACAGTTTTGACTCTGGATACTGGAGTGTGTGTGTTGGAGTGTGTGTGTGTGTCCATCAGTGTGTCTCAGAGAGAGAAGCAGGGAGACAGAGAGAGTAAAGCGGGCAGCGTTGATAGGAATCTGTGAGGATATAAGGCAGCAAAAACAGAGAAGAAGAAGAAGAAGATGGCATGTGGTTCTAAGAGAGCGAACTTGTATCTGCAACAATCTTAAGTGCTATGAACCTTGGTGTGTGTGTGTTTCTATTTTAAAATATTTGAACATAAAGGGATGTTGCCCCTAAAGAGAGATCATTCCAAAACATAGCATCAAATAGTTGAAGGGTTGAAGTGACCCTTTTTCCTCAACCTCAAAGGCAGGGTCACCAACTATATTTGTCAAAGGGACAAACTTTTTCTGGATAGACACCATGGGGGCCGGACACTCAGAGAAAATCAGATAAAAATCAACGTTATTGTTTAATATTCATTTTGAAATCCAGTCGTGGGCCGCATTTGATGGTTCTGTGAGCTGGCTATGGCCCGTGGACCACCATTTGATGATCACACCTCTATGGTTTTGCTCTGGCCAAAGTGGGGCATAAAGACATGCTGCCCCGTAATGCAGCAGCGCTGTCACTGGTGGTCCAGCTTATAGAAGGTAGACCTGCACTAGATCTTCATAAGGATGACATACATTCATTTCTGGGTCACAGCGCGGTTATCCCAGAGCTAAAATAATAAGACATCATTTACGGTTTTGTACCAAACTGTACAAAACCATAAAAAATAGGAAATAGTATGCACTGTTTAACAATAAGCAATTGAATGACTAAAGATAATATAATGAAGATGCTGAAATGACCACACCATCCACTGTCGAAGACGGATGCATAAAGACTTGTGGTGAGCAGTTGTAATTGGAGGCATAACGACATAAAGTTTAATTTGACTGACAGTCCTGCTACAGTCAAAAGATAATACCTCACCTAATGGAGAGAGAGAAAAAAAAATAATCGTGAGAGGAAGAAATGCTCCAAAACCACTCAAATTGGCCATCGTCACATT